GTCGAATATTGAAGACTGCGCAGCAGTCGGTAGAAATTTGTAGCTGTAGTAAAACTTGGTGTTCTGTCTCAAATGAAATCTCCGAAAATCCTGGGAGAAAGCCCTGAGCAAGAGAAAGTGGATCTTTTGCTTTTTACGTTTGCTCAAAACACGGCTGTTGCGATGAGAGTGAGAGCATCCCGCTTTATTCCTTCTGACTTGAATTTCAGGAACTGAAGTGCTCTTTTTTTGCAAGCGACTACCTTCTCTGTGCGTGAGCTCAAATCGTAGCCAAGGTCGATTGAGAATAGCCTCGATGGAGGGCGTTTTCCTTGCATAGGCTGCCAATCAAAGCAATTTCACTACAACAGCAGCCTGCGACCTGTACGCGTTTTTCAGTCTCGTCACTCGTTCTAACTCATTTGATGACTGTAATGTGTGTGTGAGGAGAGCGGAGAGGGGGCGCGCCCACTCGGCCGACAACACAAACCGATATTGATTCGAACCTCAGCTTTCTCCCTCAATCAATCCTCTGGATACAATATCTATCCGCTAAACGGGCTATACTTCCGTAGAGGTGAGCGCATTGCGGAAGAACGGCACTATGCAACCCTGAGTTAGAAAGTCAACTATCACTTGGTAGCAAATTGCCAACGAAAACCCATTGGTCGAGATGTTACTGCACCTTGCCCAGCAAGATAGTCTGTTTGAATTCTGACGTCATCAGTGCTTCTTGAACGCTTTTACTAACGAAGCAGAGTTGGACTTGACCTTAGAGCAGGAGGAAAGGGATTTCCCTCTACTCATTGCCTTGAATTTTACCTAGAGGTTTAGGTGTTCTTCACTTCTCTCCAATGATATGCCTTTTTTATTGCTTTTAGACATCACTAGTACAAGCCACATGTCCTCAGATATGCGATTGATGGCTTCGCTCCTCAAAGGCGAATCTTGCGTCTCCCGTATTCGCCTGCCAACCCTGATAAGGCACTTTTATTTGCTTTGCAATATGGCTGAGTCACTCGATAACA